CCACTACGAGAATTTGTAAATACCTTTGTAAATAATCTTGTAAATACACTTTGCCAAATGAAGGGATTTAGGGGATTAGATGCCAATTTATTTGTATATCTTTGTATACACATACTTTGTTTATGGTTGAGGAAGTTAGGGAAGCTAACTTGTATTTTGTTTTCTTTATTTTCATTTGAGGTAAGGTATAGCTGCTAAAAGAAGTTTGTTTTGTTAATTGTTTTGGCCTTGTTTGCCCCTGAAGATATTCCCGTTTAAAAAAAATTAAGTTTTGTTTATTCGGCATCTCTCTGGTGACGGGACTTTGTTCTCTCTTTCTGTTAAGGCTAACCCCTAGAGGTCGTTACAAAATAAAATAAAAATGCAATGTTTTGTTGTAAAATGTTATATTTTCATTTGACTACATTTTAAAGATTTATTTAATTGCTATGCTTTAATATTTTATTTCATTAGACACCATTTTTTATGATAAATCTGTAATAAAAAAAAACAGAATACAGAGAAAAAAAACAAAAAAAAAACAAATGTTTTCCCTTGTTTTACACTGTTGTCTGTCTCTGTGTATTTTTGGCTTGCACTTCTGTAACTCAATCTGAATTTCTTCTTCCATGTAACACGTCAGCCATGGTTCCACGCTGGCTGAACACCCTCTGGCTGAGCCTTCTACAGTAACACACTAAAAACAACTCTAAAGGAAAACATTTCAAAAAGGTATGCCAGGAAAATGTAGCTGCCCCCGCTGTCTGCCTAGAGTAACAGTGACTGTTAGAAGATATTTTACGGCCTGACTCAGACCGAAACAAGACACTCATTCACTGTAATTCACTGTAAGTGCTATACAGATTTAGAATATTTAAAAATTAAAAATTTCAAGGTAAATGTTGATCAACGATCTTTGTTGATTTACCTTGAAGATGTTCTTGAGGATATCAGGCATGTGTAAAAAAGAGGGAGGGAAGGAGGGAAGGGTGCTCCACACACAGATGCTAGATGGCACCGCTTGAAAACGCGGCATTTTGCCATTTTAGTACATTTACATGTATGTATATGTGTTTAATAGATCCTTTATTCTGGATTTCAGTCTATGTTGCTGTAATGGATATCATACAGATGACTTTGAACTCAAATATGTTAAAGGTGCAGTATGTTATATCGACAGCTAGCAGATGAAATGGGCTGTGCCCTTCTCCTCAAGCCTGCATGGTTTCGTCGCTCACACGGGTTGTCAGACTGAGGACACGCAATGAGCGCAATTGACAATGGAAGGCAGCGCAATTGACAATGGAGGGCGATGAGCCTAACAGTGGATGAGTTGATTTATCCGTGTTTTAATACGCCTCTGATCTTACAGCTTTTTAGATGGAGGCTGAGGCTATTTAGGTCGGGTTGAATCTGCAATCTCTAACCCAGTTCGTTTGCTCGCTTCCATATTCCCTAAATATCTGCAAATGTATGATATTTTTATGCTTTTTTATGATTTATAGTCAACATATTACATGCAGCATCTAAGTTTTTACAGCATTTTGTAACTTGCAGTTTCCCTCTGAAGTTAAAATGACTTAATAAAAATGATGCTATATGTTTTTATGAGTGCCAATCTGTCTATGTTTGGTGTCTATTTTTGATAAGTAAAGAGATGTTATTGGAACACATCTTCCTTTGTGAACCTCAGCGTACCTGGGATGTTCCGGCCTTTTAATCAGAATACACCCTTGATGTGTCCCAATGATTTAACTCCCCTTGTCACTTGTTGCTCTCTTATGGTTCTCAGGAGCTTTGTTATGGTATACTATTATTGGTCCAACTGTTGTCTCTTACTGTTTATCCATAACCGATGACTGCACCATTGGCCATGAATCTCCTGCACCCCACCTCAACTGGACAAACCTTGAGGTTCCAGCCTCGGATCTCTGCTGCTGCTTCAAGAGCAGCATAACGTGGGCACTTCTGCTCATGTGCCGTGTCCACAGCATATTCTCAGGAAGATTCGGACCAGGACACTAGGTCTGGTCTAAGGCTAGTGCTAGTCAATTCATGGGGAAAGTTGATGTTAGGCTGATGTTACAACCGACCAATATGTGCTTGGGTTGAGATACAGCTTTAGCAACCCTGGTAGGTTATTCAAATTTTATTCAACCATATGAATAACACATCTACCCTTACTACCCTTACTTAAACTGTTCTGTTCAATTAAGGCAAGGAGAAACATTTGAACTAGCATTTATTATTATAAAATTAGTTGCTCAAGTCTACTTAAGTAAATACAATATGAAGAAGCATTTAATAATTGGTGATTATTGGTTATAAGATTAGTAATTGGTTGGTTCGAAACATTGGAATTTATCATAACTGAGCAGAAAAACAGGATGTAATTAAACCAACTGGAAAAACAACGCCTTACACATTTAAAATATCTTATATAAAACAAGTCAACTTAACAAACAAAGAAAAAGTACTTAAGTTGTGAAAATTACCCCAATTTTTCAAGTATAAATAAAAGACATTATACTGCATTAACAGTATATTACATAATAATGTAAAAAGTCATTTAGATACCTTATTTTTAGACTAATCACCTCAGAACATAGAAACATTAAAAGAAAACTACTGCCTTTGGAGTGTCTTTTACGCGGTATTAACGGTATTTGAGCCGTTGGAGCTGTCTGTAACTGCTGTATTGTTGGCTTCAGACACATTGTACACATCTGCAAATAGTTATAGGTGTATGTTAGTCATGTAACTTATTGTCTTTACATTCATTAATTTAGCAAATTTATCCAAATGAGAAATACAACAATATTAGGAATTCTTCTTATTGAAAATATGTTAATAAATACTTAATTTTATTTCATCTACTTACTCCTCCGTCGCATCCTTTGAAAGGCAGTCAGTCCAGATGTGGATGATGTTCCTGCACTGGTGCTCTGTAAGGAGATATCAGTCAAAATAAATCACATGAGTCAATGTAAAATACATAGCAATGGTTAGAAGCTGAACAATAGTTAAAGAGCTTATATAAGTGTGCGCTGTTATAGAATGGCATTTACATTGGTATTGATGGAAGTAAGTTTCTGTAGCAACAGTTTTCCTGGTAGTGACTCACGAACCTGCAATCAAAGATCTCTACTTAATATCAACAAATTTGAAAATCTCTCAAATGTCTGCTTATTGCACGGCTATGAGATACTTGATTCTGATTTGTAAGTCACGCCATACAGCGATCACAAATTTCCTAATATTCACTGTTGTTCATGCCAACTCTGTATATCATACCACCTATCTGGAAACCAGAGCTAGATTTATGTCTCTCATAACAATCCAAGAACTCAGTTTATCTTCATACAAACACACACAAAACACACTTGGCACTATCTCAGTTATCGACTGTAATGAAAATGACTTCAGAGAACTTCAGTTGCCTATTAATATTACTGAAATGTTTTTGCAGTGTCCATATTGTTGCTAGGTCAATTGCACAGTAGTGGAATACTGTTTTAAGCTAAACTAATATACAGGTCAAATTAAAAATTATTTCAATTCAAATCAATATTTCCTGTTCATGTTTTTGGTGGGCAGCCGTGTAATAAGCAGGATAATGTACATTCACATAACAGTCACATGACAGTCCAAATAAACCCTGCCAGGCTGATATGGTGTTGTCATATTTGTAATGTATGGTGGTTTAAAATAATGTTTATAATGCCAGATCTTTAGATTGAAAATCAAAGACTACAACGTTAAGTGGCTTTGCTTAAGCTTTTTGTAAATCAACAGAAGGAAACTCATACCTTGCTGTCTAAAAGCGTTCCGAACACCAAGATAAAGAATCCCTATTAAAGGAAGTGTTACAAGGTATGATTCAAAGTGATTCAAGTTTAATTAGAAACATGGACATTTATAATAAATCAGTGTGCAGCATTAGAGAAATGCAAAAAATGGGTATACACAAAATTTAACCTTACTATAAATTTGATATTAATGAGAAAGAAAGTGATACCTGCAGTGAATTGAGGAGTGCAAACACCACATGAATGCCTAAATCTTGTGACACCATGGTTCCAATGCCAAATCCCCATGTTAGACCAAAGATAGGAGTTAAAATGGCCACACATCTGGCAATGACCACCAGGGCATGTTTCTCATCTGGTTGAGTTGCGGCACCGACTCCTCTCCTCAACATCTTGTACAGAACCACAATCAAAACTACAAGGTTTATGGCTACAATAGTGAGAGCTGGAATCACAAATGCCAGCAGGGCCTTTGATTCTAACCAGTTCAGCCAGCATGCATTTCTTTTGGAAATATAATTTTGAGGTCCAGCTGTTGAGGCAACAGTGATGACCGCTATCAGCAAAGGTGCACCATAACTGACTATGAAGGCGATGACCATCATTTTGGCCCTTGACATTTGAGACAAGACCATAACTGTACGGTAAAAGAGCAACAGCGCTGACATTAAACTGTTGTTCATGCCAACTCTGTATATCATACCACCTATCTGGAAACCAGAGCTAGATTTATGTCTCTCATAACAATCCAAGAACTCAGTTTATCTTCATACAAACACACACAAAACACACTTGGCACTATCTCAGTTATCGACTGTAATGAAAATGACTTCAGAGAACTTCAGTTGCCTATTAATATTACTGAAATGTTTTTGCAGTGTCCATATTGTTGCTAGGTCAATTGCACAGTAGTGGAATACTGTTTTAAGCTAAACTAATATACAGGTCAAATTAAAAATTATTTCAATTCAAATCAATATTTCCTGTTCATGTTTTTGGTGGGCAGCCGTGTAATAAGCAGGATAATGTACATTCACATAACAGTCACATGACAGTCCAAATAAACCCTGCCAGGCTGATATGGTGTTGTCATATTTGTAATGTATGGTGGTTTAAAATAATGTTTATAATGCCAGATCTTTAGATTGAAAATCAAAGACTACAACGTTAAGTGGCTTTGCTTAAGCTTTTTGTAAATCAACAGAAGGAAACTCATACCTTGCTGTCTAAAAGCGTTCCGAACACCAAGATAAAGAATCCCTATTAAAGGAAGTGTTACAAGGTATGATTCAAAGTGATTCAAGTTTAATTAGAAACATGGACATTTATAATAAATCAGTGTGCAGCATTAGAGAAATGCAAAAAATGGGTATACACAAAATTTAACCTTACTATAAATTTGATATTAATGAGAAAGAAAGTGATACCTGCAGTGAATTGAGGAGTGCAAACACCACATGAATGCCTAAATCTTGTGACACCATGGTTCCAATGCCAAATCCCCATGTTAGACCAAAGATAGGAGTTAAAATGGCCACACATCTGGCAATGACCACCAGGGCATGTTTCTCATCTGGTTGAGTTGCGGCACCAACTCCTCTCCTCAACATCTTGTACAGAACCACAATCAAAACTACAAGGTTTATGGCTACAATAGTGAGAGCTGGAATCACAAATGCCAGCAGGGCCTTTGATTCTAACCAGTTCAGCCAGCATGCATTTCTTTTGGAAATATAATTTTGAGGTCCAGCTGTTGAGGCAACAGTGATGACCGCTATCAGCAAAGGTGCACCATAACTGACTATGAAGGCGATGACCATCATTTTGGCCCTTGACATTTGAGACAAGACCATAATTGTACGGTAAAAGAGCAACAGCGCTGACATTAATATCCAGAACAAAAGAGCCAAGTAAAAAAAGTGCATGAAGAAAACGGCTGGACTGCAGCGACCCACTGAGGTTGGCTGTTCTTGTTCTGCGATTGCAGCTCCAATGATAAAACAGATGTTTGCGATCAGCAGGGACACGGCAATGTTGACTATGGAGACATGTCGCATGTAGGATGTGTCATTTCTTGTCACTGATTTCCATACGATAGTCTCAATAATCAGGCATATAATCAAGCTGGCCATCGAAATAGCTACGCCAATGTAAGTTATATAGGCTAAGGCTTTGTGATAAATGGAAAACGGTGACATTAAGATTGAAAAGGAAGTTGTGTGGTTGCATTCACATGTAATCTTGCCAGTTTCATTCCCTTTACTTATATAGGGCTTTGCTTCGCATCCAGTGGAATCCCAATCGCTGAGACTGAAGTTCCAAAAGACACACTGAGGATTTCCCAAAGACTGTTCAGTAATGTCAAATGTAAAAGAAATGTTGTTAAGAGTTTCATTAACCTTAACAACAACCACATCTCCATTGATGCGCACATCTGATTTCCTGCTGTCATTAGTACCTTGAGAAGGTAGTACTTTGTCAAGAGTTGTGAAGATTATGATGGTTATGGTAGTCTCTTGAGGAACCTGTGGTACCACAATCTCTGTAGCCGAGTTTGGCAGTGCTGATGTTATATTGAATGAGTTTTTAATTGTAGTTCTATTCAGCTGAATGGATGTTTCATTAATCGCAAACTCATCTGTGAGACGGTCACTTATATCCTCAATAGCGCTCAGAAGTTTAATGCTGGTGTCTTCTGTGTTTTTGCCTTTGTTCAGTTTGTTCCATGTATTACTGACATTACCTGATACAATAATGTCCACTGTGTTTAGGAAACTCTGGAAATGTAATATAAAATTATGTTTTATATTATGAAGTTTAGCCCATAAAATGTGGAAATAATTGATATATAAGATATTTGTATAATCTAATAAGACACAAAGACACTAACAAAAGATATAAGATATTATATCCTAATATAAAAAATATGATCTGCCACATTTTAATAAAATAAAATCCTGATAGTAACATATATAATATAATATAATATAATATAATATAATATAATATAATATAATATAATAATGAAGAGAATGGCTATTGCACAACACAATTATGTAACTGAATCAACACAAGTTCTTATCTTAATTAGACATTATCTTCATTATCTAAATTCACTTCAATACAACAAGCATAAAATGTCTAAATATCACATAAAAGCTTAAATGTGAATATACATACCCCCATAACTGGATTATTGATGGAAGTAGCTTGTGACAAGTTGGCAATTTTAAAGAGTATGTCAACAATTGCTTGGACAGTAGCAGCAGACTGGGTTATATTAATATCATGCTTTGCTGTGGCAGAACTGAGGTCAGCCATAAACCCTGGAATCTCCTCCACACGCAAGAACTAAATTGCAAAGTACAAATATATAAATGATAGAAACCTTTAAAATGGCCAGATCATTGTAGATAATTACATGATTACCATCCAGAACAAAAGAGCCAAGTAAAAAAAGTGCATGAAGAAAACCGCTGGACTGCAGCGACCCACTGAGGTTGGCTGTTCTTGTTCTGCGATTGCAGCTCCAATGATAAAACAGATGTTTGTGATCAGCAGGGACACGGCAATGTTGACTATGGAGACATGTCGCATGTAGGATGTGTAATTTCTTGTCACTGACTTCCATACGATAGTCTCAATAATCAGGCATATAATCAAGCTGGCCATCGAAATAGCTACGCCAATGTAAGTTATAAAGTCTAAGGCCATGAGATGAATGGGATCAATGTGAAATGGTGACATTAGGATCGAAAAAGAGGTTGTGTGGTTGCATTCACATGTAATGTTGCCAGTGTTGTTCCGCTTTACTTCACATCCAGTGGAATCCCATGTGTTGAGACTAAAGTTCCAAAAGACACACTGAGAATTTCCCAAAGACTGATCAGTAATGTCAAACGCAAAAGATATGTTGTTAATTGTTTTGCTGTCAATCTTAACTACAACCACATCTCCATTGATGCGCACATCTGATTTCCTGCTGTCATCACATAAAAGCTTAAATGTGAATATACATACCCCCATAACTGGATTATTGATGGAAGTAGCTTGTGACAAGTTGGCAATTTTAAAGAGTATGTCAACAATTGCTTGGACAGTAGCAGCAGACTGGGTTATATTAATATCATGCTTTGCTGTGGCAGAACTGAGGTCAGCCATAAACCCTGGAATCTCCTCCACACGCAAGAACTAAATTGCAAAGTACAAATATATAAATGATAGAAACCTTTAAAATGGCCAGATCATTGTAGATAATTACATGATTACCTGAAGTTTGTTTTTAAGGTTGTCGATATCTTCAATTATGCAGTTGTCCTCTAATGGTTTCCAATCGCGTGATTCACATTTGTAAGTTAAGGTGCCTTTCAAACCTTTTCCACAGACTCCTGTCTTCACTTCATCTGTTTTTCCAACTCCAAGTTCTTCATTTCGACAGTCATAATCTGGAGAAGTATTTGATTGCAAGTCAGAAGGGAATTCAACAATTTCTCCACAATGTATATAGGGCTTTGCTTCGCATCCAGTGGAATCCCAATTGCTGAGACTGAAGTTCCAAAAGACACACTGAGGATTTCCCAAAGATTGATCAGTAATGTCAAAGGCAAAAGATATGTTGTTAAGAGTTTCATTAACCTTAACAACAACCACATCTCCATTGATGCGCACATCTGATTTCCTGCTGTCATTAGTGAGAAGTATTTGATTGCAAGTCAGAAGGGAATTCAACAATTTCTCCACAATTTCTCTCAGAATATAACATCACATTACACTTTATAAATGTTGGGACTTGAAAGTGCCCCTGCAAGCTACTTGTACAATATGCAGAAACATCAGAAATAACGGGTCAAATGACTAAACAATATGACCAGTACATTCAACACCAGATAATCAGGTGTGATACGATCCAAAGAAAAGTCTGCTAGACCGTAAAAATCATGAAATTGTACAGTAAAAAAGTAAACAGTATAAAGCACTTTGATGCTGCAAAGAATGAGAAACTGAAGGCTCACTTTCTGTGCTTGTCCTAACTGTGACGCTGCTATAGCTATAACTGAAATTCTGTAGTTGTGGCAGATCCTTGAGACGACATGTAAAGGTAAAGGTTTGATCTGAACAATTTCCCCTCGAAGTATTATAGTTTAATGTGATACTGTCAGATCCTGATTGTGTAAAAAGAGAAATGCATTTACACGAAAACATATTAATAACATGGATAATTTAATTGAAGGATTAAATAACAACTCATTAACGTATAAAACTGTACCAGTGATTTGTATGTACAACCTGAAATTTGTACTGTTCCATGACCCACTCAAGATTGTAGCCAACATCAACAGAACATTTCAGTTGAAAACTGCTGCCATCAAATGGAAAAACACGGTATTTATCACCCACGATAATACTGGGGCGTTGTTTAATAACAATGTTTTGCCACTGAATGTATGGTATTGTATTCCTTTGTATGATGCATGAATATTGACCTGCATGTTAGGGAAAAACCAATAAACAAATGTATTATTAATATAATTATTTATATAATAGTTTGTGTATGAGTGGATGTTCATGACATTAATGCTTTGTTTTTGATTGGTTAATTGGTTTCATAATTAAACTTAATGTTGATACAGCAGCAACATCTATGCCACAATTTGTATCCTAGTATACAATATTTAGTATAATCATATCCTATAGTATATCAGTGCAGTGCTAATATACTTAAATCAAACTATGGCACAGTTTTATAGCAGTCTACCTTTTAAAGGGGACATCGGATGTCCATTTTCCACAAGTTGGTATGATTATTTAGGGTCTTAATGAAATGTCTATAACATACTCTGGTTCAAATTCCTCAATGGTCGTATAAAACAACACCCTTTTTACCTTGTCAAAAACATGTCTGTTCACAGTAGTGATGCGCGGATGGCGGTTATATCCGCGGGCGCTGCGGATAATCCGCGGATCGGGTGGGTCGGGTAATAAAAAAATGCATTCTGATTATTTGCGGGTGGGTCGCGGGTGGATAAAACAAATCATTAATGATGCAAGTATTAACTACATTTTCTAAATTATGAACGTGTTTTAAATAGGCTACAGAAATTGAATAAACTGTAAATTAACATTAAAAGTTATTCAACAAAACATTATTTAGTCAAGAGCAGTAAGGGATTTTCTCTGTCTTTTGTTGTTTGATTAACATTAATAAAAGACGGCACAGCTTTATTAGGCTGCTGTCACAAGAGCTATTTCACGGATCCAATACTGACACTCATTAACTTAAGACAAAACCGACAGTAGCCTACTTTCTCAATTTGGTATTGGCAGTACGTGGATGTGACTGTGAGCGCACGCGCCTCTGGAGAGCGCGAGTACCGAATGGCTTAAAAAGACGTGAAAATAATACATTTTTGTGACGATGCAACAATGACCGATCAGGCTATTGACAATTCTGTCAACTGTCCCGAAACGCGAGCTAAAGTCTTCTATTGCAGCGTGCAGCAGCTCTAGATGCGTCGATGTGAAGCGAAAGTCAAAGAGAGAAGACGCGGTACAGCTGAATCACTTACGCTGTTTTCATCTGATGGTTTGTGTGGATTTATTTACTCATCTAACCTACACGCTATATTGAATAAAGGTTTTGCAGTAATTTCCCTCATTTTAAAGTCGAAAGCTGCGGGAATGAGTAATGCGATGTATGCGCAATCCCGCAACGAAATTCAGGATCTGATTAAACATAATTCTATTATACAGAGAATTGTGAAATAAATTTTCATGATTTTTTCAAAAACTTTTTGAGTTTATTTATTTTTACATAAACCTGGAAATTGCTGTTCAATGACTTTTCCAGGTTTTTAATGACAGTACGAACCCTAATGTGATGATCGGGTGCGGGTCAGGTGCGGTAATCTAAATCAGACAAAAATACAGGTGCGGGCGGTTGGCGGGTGGATAATTTATTTGAAGCTGCGGATTCGGGTGACGTTTTAGCTCATCCGCGCATCACTAGTTCACAGCAACCTGTTTCGGTGCATGTCACTTTAAATGATAATGAGCTACTGCTCAGTCCACCCCTCTCTTCCATTGTTTTTTTGTTTTTGTTTTTGTGTGTGTGTATTTGGTGGTGCATTACCATCAAAAACAAAACTACGTCCTCGGTGGCTCTGATGACGTCACACTACTCAGAAAATCAAAACAGCTTGATAATTGAGACTGTTTAGTTTTTTGGGGGATTAAAAAAAAAAAGAGTGAATGGACTTTTACCATTGTAGGGTGGTTGTTTCCACACACTGCTAAGACACATTTACATGCAAATGCCATGTAAAAGTGAATTTTGCATCCAATGTCCCATTTAAAACCAGACTCTAATAGCAATCAGGCACTTTGCCACAGGCAAAGACAAAATAAATCCATGTCACTCACCACTGTCAGTTTCACTAGCACTTTTCACAGTGAGAGTTCTGTTGTTGTTTGAAAGTAAGTATCTTGTGTTGTCTAGTGCAGGATCTTTGTTATCCACTGTCCATTTTATTTGTCCCTTTGCAAAGTCTGGCTGTATACAGTTCAGGTCCACCTTTTGCAGAGGATATAACTGATCTGTTGTGAAAACGGTTTGATCTGTAAATAGAAACCATACAACTCATATCACCCAACAACAAACAAAACTTAAACAATAAAATAATAAAATATGATGGAACTAAGAAATCTGAAGGGTTTTAGATTAGGCACTGACTACTCTTACCACTTTGAGCAAAAGCATCTTCAGTTAAAATTATTCCTTGTGCCCTTAGAGAGTCAGAAACCTGTGTGTTTGCTGCTCCAAAATCAAGGCTGTTGGATGTTGCATTTATTGTGTAGTCTGCTATAACACTACCAGGCCTATGGAGCGAAACACAAACCACACCAATGTGAAGACATTATTTACATTGTATTTGAAAAAAGCAGTAAATAATGGGAACTTTGTGTGAAAAAAGTGCTAATTTAAATGATAGATCATACCTGAAGCCAGAGACTTTTGTAGAACCAATATTGTAGCCAGTTAGCTTATTAGAATAACTTGCGTTAATCTGTAAAAAGCAAAAGTACCCAATGTATGCTTGAAAATGTTACAATAATAAAAATGAAATGAAGTTATTGTGATATGACATCACTATGTTATGTGCGTATATGGATCAAGCCTCTCTTCTACAAGGCTTTGCAAAGAGGTTGATATTGAAGGATACTATATTTGAACTGCTTCTGACTGTTAAATGGATGTTACAGAAAAATAAATACATATATTTATATAAAACATTATTAAAAACAAAAACATGTATGTTTTGTCTTTTTCAAAATTATGTTCAAGCTGTATTCAAAGTTGTATTTATAGTATTCACAAAAATCAGCTTTTTTTTTCATTAAATTTGAAACACAGAATACTCACTGTTGACTGAATTCGTCCAGATAAATCTTTGTAACTGTCGCTATTAGGCTCTGCAAGACTTAAGTCAAAAGTCTGAGCTATTTTTATCAGCATTCCAATGACTGTAAAACAAGTGTACATTTATGCACATTGTATCAACAGGCTTAAGCAACAATCATCAGTCCTTAAAACTATACTAATGCAAATTCAAATATATGGATAAGATCCAGTTAGAGAGGATGCATTAGATGAACACTGGTGCCCCCCAAGAAATTAACTCATTATTAGACAATAAATTAACAAAAAAGATTTCCTGTTATCATTTTTCGACATGCATTGCATAATTTTTGTAGCCCTACTAACACAAAATATCTTAATTCAGTCATATATTTTTGTGCAGTATTTAGATTTAGATTCACAGTATCTGTCAGTGCTGTTTTTGACACTGTTGAATAAAAAAAATATCAGTACAACAAAAATATGAATATTTTTTCCTTCATGAAATCAAACAGTTAATAGCAAAGGGTTTATACAGATCTATAAATTTGTTTTTCAAACATGCAAAACAATTCATTAATTTGATGTATTTTATGTATTGAATCTATTAATTTCCAGAATTAAAAAATGTAAAATCATCTGAGATTACTTATGACAAAATATGAATGCATTGTCACTGACAAAAAAATAGTTAGGGTTTAGTTGCACACAGACTCTTATTTTGACACTGCACATCATTTTCCTTGTGCACATTTCTGGTTTAGTTCCTGTTTTGTGTTTGTTGCTACGGTTTCTACAATGTCCCATTCAGTTCACCTGTGTCTTGTTAAGTTAGCTTGTTTGTTTGTGTATTGAGGGGATAGGAGTCATGGGGTCTGTTCTTTGTACGTGGATTACTCAGTTAGCAGGATTTATTGTTGGTGATTTGACATGATCGTTTGTTCCAATCCTGTTGTTGAACAGGATTGTTCATCGAAGCTCATCCCGGAATTGCTGTCATAGCAACAGGTCCTTAAACTCAAACCTGCTCGGGAGCAGGATTATTTCATGTCAACAGGATTAGATGGTATCATTTTAAGTGAAGGTGATACTGAAAATCTGTCCCAGCCACTGCGACATTCTTACAAGTGTACCTTATTAAACCAGGAAAAATTATTTTAAAAGATAATAATTTTCAAATTGTTTTGTAAATAATTAAAATGTTTTGTAATCTATAATAATAGACAAGGCCAATTTTACTCATTGAGAGACTTATGCATGAAGGAATAATTATTTCATAATTTTATTGCATTCAAATACACATTATGTACAGTTTGTCTGAGCTGTACATTAATTTGAATGCTGAGTTTTAATGCGGGTGGTTTTGATGTGTTGCAGGAGATGCAGGCCACTTCTCAAATCTCAAAATGCTTTCATGAAGCACAAATTGCAATCAATTTAAACACAGAAAGTTATGTCTTAAGATGGATCTTATGGTTTAAGACACTTTCATTAATGCTGTCACATATAACAAATCAGCTTCAAAATTAAATAAAGTACAATACTTTTGACATTGAAAAATGCAAATCCTGTACAAACACTAGAAATGGTAAAAAAAGTAACTGGGAATTTTAAAAAAAGGTTTCACATTTTATTTATCTATTAGATATTTTATGTCATTTTACTCGCTAGGCTGTGTCCTTAATCTTAATTATAGAATGTCATTAAGTTGCTGTCTTGCCGCCAGCCAATCGCTATATTGCTGATCATGGTTTTGAGTACCGATATATCTGCCCTTTCCAATTAACATGTCATCACGCAGTAATCTCAGACAATTTAATCCAGATATTTTAATCAAATCCACTAACTTTTTTGAAAAACCAAATTAGCCAGAGATCAGTTATCAGGATGAAAAGATCTAGCATCTGTCAAATCATCTCAGATGTATTAAGCAATGTACAAAGAACAGACCCATGGTTTGCTTGGGTTGTCTCTATATTGTCTCTTTGTGGCAATACCATGAACTTAAGTGTGCATTGAATCAATGGGTTTTAGGAACAGTTCTTATTACTAATACTAATCTTCAACATCTTCACATACAGTTGTTGTGCTGTATCTCAGATTTTGTTTTACTGGGCATACCTGTTGTTGTTGTGTTTGTTCCTGTTGGAGGTGTTGATGGTGTTGTTATTGGTGGTGGTACTGTTGGAACTGAAGAAGACTGACATGACTTTGAAACGAACTTTAAATTTGACATGAAAATTGACTGTATCCTTTTGAAAATTTGAAAAAGGGTGTTTAAAAAAATCTGAAAAACATAATTATGCAAATAAATGAATCGCACCTATGCATGGATTATTGCTATTAATACTTTCATTCATCTTTGTAGCGTTATATCCTTCCCAACAAGAGCATGAATAGTTTCCATTGTAGATGGAACAGTTAACATTCGGCCCACACACCAATGATGAGTTGAGACATTCATGAATATCTGAAATAAAACAAATAATAAAAACATGGTTGCTGATAAGATTAAAATGTCCAGTCTGACAGCATCAATAAAGCACATCAGCTTTGAATCATGACAAACAGAAAATGACTGTTCAGAAATTCACCTTTAACAAAAAGAAAAAAAAATCTTATTACATTATTATTGAAGTTCAGCGTAAACATATGTGAAGCTAGAACTCACTTGTCATGATCCCAGTTTTGTGTTTCCCCTGTCTTGTGTTTAAGGACTTTTAAGTTGAAGTGTTTTGTATTGCTATTGTTTCTGTGCTTACTTCCCGTTAGGGCTGGGCGATATGGCAAAAAAATTAAATCTTGATTTTTTTTCACGTTTGACCGATTCTCGATTTTTAACTAGTCAACTTGAAAATGTAACTACAACATGATTCAAGTAACTTTTTCTTTCTAGTTAAAGAAATTTCTATTTCAAGTGCACCACACTTGTCAACATGATGTAAATATTAAACAAATCACTTGTTAAATATCTTTGCAAAAAAGATGCATGAACTACAACTACATCTTGTACAAACTTGTCTTATACATATTATATGTTTAGACATAATACAAGCAAAATGCTTTAAAAAAATCTCAAAAGTCAAGGTAATTCAAATTCAAAACGACTGAAGGCAAAACACCAGTAGACATTAACTGTAAATGTTCTGTAAAAACAATGAACAGCAGCTTTCAGGCTGTCAACAAGATGCAAACATGTACTTTCAGACATACAGTATTAGTTCTTTACAGGTTTTATTCAATTGCGCTGCTTTTCCATTGTTTTTTCTATGTAAACATGTACGCGTTTGACCGTTGCGCATGCATGAAACGGCATTCTAAAAACACGGCGCTCAAGTTAAAAGAAGTTCAACTCAACTCCCATCTTCCTGCATTTTTTTTCCTATTCCACTGCCCGCGTCGCATCTTTGTCAACACAAAAGTGCATTCAGTGTAAATGGAATCTAGTGATATATTCTAATTATGGTCCTTCACAGAGCGCGTCACACATGAGCGGTTAATCACGTGCGACGACATGCGGTTGGATCATTCTTTTCTCTTTACTGTTAACACTGGCATACTGTTATAATGTCTAATTCTAATGTTTGGTAATATTTCTAGTTAAAATCGTGATTCCTCGATTTATAAAAAATCATGGCAAAACATTAAATTTGAATTAATCGATCAAATCTGAAAAATCGCCCAGCCCTACTTCCCGTTTGCCTTTGGTTCCACTGGTTCCTTGTTTGTTGCCCTAGTTACCCTTATTGGTTGCCATAGTAAATCATTAGCTCCCCTGCTTGTTATCCTTGTTACCTTGTGTATATATACCCCAGTGTTTGTCTTGTTCTTTGTCAGTTGTTGTCTCTCTGTAGATGCTCTTGCCTTAGTTCCCTAGTTTGCTCCAGCTCTGTTTCCTTGTGTACCTGTGTTTGTTTTATTTTATTTAACCTTGTCTGCACCTGGATCCACTTTGTATCGCCATTGTCTAACCCAGCATTACACCACTTCAACAGGTGTTATGTGTTATGTATTTTCTATATCCTTACTGTTGCATGGGTTACCGGTGTTGACTGATTGATTCCTATTGGTTCTAAACTGCCATTCGGCGGTGAAGCCACCGGAAGTGTTCGAGCGGCCATCTTACTATTCCTTACCTGCTGAGAGCATCATTGACTGACAGCCAAAACCTTGACCTAAAATCACCCCATTTGAAGTGTATCAGTCACACAGGACTTAATTTTAGTTTTTTTTTTTAGATTATTCACCTTCAGCGATGGCTACTGGATCATTGCTCTACCAGAGCAAAAAAGCAAAAAAAGCAAATTTTCGGCGTTGTTTCAAATGCTGCGCCATTACTGTCGCTCGTGCAGGGCCCCCATGCACGCCGCTGACGGTCACAGTGAGTGTGTTTCATGCTTGGGCACCGCCCACTCTGAAGCAGCACTCATTGAGATGGAATGTCCTCATTACGAGGATATGATTCTCGCCTCTCTGCGCTCGCGGAAAGCTTTCTTTTCAGAGAGCGACTCCGCCCCTCGCGCCCTCCCGCTTTCTTCCTCCCAGGAGCCTGTGAGGAAAAAGCAGCGGTGCAGAGGAACTCGGTGCTCGGTGACGAGTGAGCCCACGCCGGCTGAGCCCCCGCATGCCTCACTCTCTCCGCTCAGAGAGGCTTCTCCAGTCCACTTCTCCCTCCCAGACCAGTGTCCCTCAGCGGCTGCGGCTGCGAGCGATCTGGTCTCATTTGGAAATTCCCAACATTAAACAATTTAGGCTACTAATTACATGCTCAAGACGTTTGCATTGTAAGAATGTACAGTGAGACTTCAGATATAAAAACGCTGACTCGTTAGGTGTTTTCTCATTAAAATCGTACAATTTCCTATTAATTCAATAGAATGTATGAGAATACTTGGTAATGCCAATATGGAGGTGCAGTGGCCTCACTTTTATGACGTCATTAGCAATCCAGTTCTCTATTATAGAACAGTGGGGTGAACCAATGATTTAATGGGCCATTCATAAAGAGAGACATTTACTTAATTCCTGAATAAAACCGCAGTTTGAACAAATCGAATGAATTAATTAATTAATTATTGAATTAATGACATTTACTGCCACCTACCAGCAGTTTTAGTTTCTTATTTAGAGTATAATTTCATTAAAATAATTGTATATTAACATATTAATTAAAAATCAGAAAATAAAAATAAAATATCCATATTAATAAAAAACTAATCAAAGGGACAGTTCACCCAAAAATTAAAAATGGAAAAAAAAGAAAAGAAAAAAGAACATGGGGGAAAAAAAGAAACATTTCTTTCTGAAGCTACTTTTTGTAATATCTATTTCATCTATCCTTATGATTTGTGTGTCTGAATATACAATAACAGGCATGTGAGCAAAACTTCCAAGTTATACAAATATCTGAATATAGAATGTACCTGTACATGTGTTATTGATGCTGATGGGGAGATTTGAGTTTGTTGCAGTGAATCCATCCAGACATGAGCAATTAAAACTTCCCATTTCATTTGTGCAGTTGGCATTTGGACCACATACAGATGGACTAAACAGACATTCATTTATACCTGGAAAGTAAATAACACATTTTATAGTAATATCTCAACATTAAAATAATGTTCTAATTACAACAAAAAAAATGTAATTGGAAAAAAAGATGTTTTGATATCTGAAAAACATGATAAATTATTATCATGTTTTTATTATGCTATTAATAGTTTCATTCATCTTTGTAACGTTATATCCTTCCCAACACGAGCATGAATAGTTTCCATTGTAATTGGAACAGTTAGCATTCGGCCCACACACCAACGATGAGTTGAGACATTCATTAATATCTGAAATAAACCAAATGATAAAAACATGGCTGCTGATGAGATTAAAGGAGACATATTATGCCCCTTTTTACAATATGTAATACAAGTCTCTGGTGTCCCTAGAATGTGCCAGCCTAGTGGTGCTGGAGCGCCATCTATGGCTAAACCTGACGGAGATCAAGGATGCGGATAAGGTTCCCTTCCTCGACTCCTCTTCCCCTTCCTATGCCCCTTTTTATAATATGTAATATAATGTGTCCCTGGTGTACCTAGAATGTGTCTGTGACGTTTCAGCTCAAAATACTCCACAGATCATTTATTATATCATTTTGAAAATGCCTATTTTGAGTGGAAGCAGAAACACGCTGTTTTCTGTTTTCAGCCTACTCGTCTGCTGGACAAGCGGCCTCAGCGCTTCATTCTATGGCGGTCTTCCAGGCCAAGCTCCTCCGTTGCATGGACGAGTCCGGCCCAGACCCCGCGGCTTTTAAGGAGCTGCGCAGTGCGACCGACCTGGCTCTACGTGCCACCAAGATGACAGCACAGGCGATGAACGCTTTACCGCTGCACAGAAGTCGTCCCAAGCAATGTGACACTTCCTGCCAAAGTGCTCCAGCTCAACGGCTGCTTCTAGTCACCCCAAAAATGTGCCGACTCAGCACCCCGCAAAGCCTGCACCACCAATTGCTCCCACGGCTCCTAAGCCCGAGCCTCGCCAGCACTCCCGCTCGGCCAGACGCCAGTTTCCTAAACGCCAGGGCCCCCGACCCAAGATAGTGTTGTACCCTGCGCCTCAGGCGTCATGCTGATCTGCGGGACAGGAAGAGGAGGTGGCCAAATCTCGCTGCAGGCGGACCACCCCCCAAAACGCCTCTGCTATGCATCCAATCACCCCGTTCAGTTCCGGGTGCTGATGGCAGTGTTTGTGACCAAAAATACTGTTGTGAACATGGGGCCCGTTCTAATCGCGTCCACACAACCAACCGCTGTTATAGCGGGAAAAATAAAACACATTTTCAAAAAGAGAGCAAATTTCCTCTTCCACTCATTGCGAGCGTCAGGTTCCCCCTAGGCAGCCCACCGCTCGAGCCAATCCAGTCCCTTGCCACGCGGGTCGAGGCCTGGCAGGCCATCCCCGGAGTGTCAAGCTGGGTCATGGGGATAATAAAACGAGGTTATACACTCCAATTCGCTCGAAGACCCCCGCATTTCAGAGGTGTGGTCTCCACCTCGATTCAGAGCGAGGATGCACACGTTGATGAATTTGCTGGCAAAAGGAGCCGTAGAAACGGTTCCCCCAGCCGAGAGTGAGTCAGGCTTCTACAGCCGTTACTTCCTCGTCCCCAAGAAGGATGGCGGCCTCAGGTCCATTCTCGA